CCGTAATCAACTTCCTACTGTGACGTGGCACTCATTACGCAACCGGCAAGCACTGCAGCTATATAAGTGAGCTGCACAGCTGGTACCAGTCAGTTCTAGTGTGGCTACCGCAGAGTCGTAACCTGGCCATCGCCGAGTCAGTTGTACTGTGACAGCCACCAGGTTGTAAAGTAACAGCCGCCTAGAGAGTTCTACTGTAGCAGCTGCCTAACACAGTTGTACTGTGACATCCGCCGAGTTGTAAAGTAACAGTCAGCCGACTACAAGTTGGAGTATAGCAGCCGTCGCGGAAAGAAGATCCGGACGTGTGTGTGATTGTGTAATCGGGAGCGTGTGATACAGTGATACACAGCTCCCCTACTGTAAACGTGTAGACTACTGAAGACAGAGTGAACTGATTTGCGCATAGGGTTATAAATCGTGAAACCCCGCAACAGTGTTAACAGATTACTGCGATTAGGGTTATAAAGTGTGAAACCCCGCAACTGTGAGATAATTAATTGTAGCCATTACTTGTAGATTGTTAAATAAACCAATTAACCATCTCTACGGCGTCTTCGGTAACGAAACACGTTACAATATTGTACGTGAAGAATTAGTTTGACATGTTTGTGCTCCGTTAGGACATGAATCTCACAGATGACGGTGTGGTGTTATGTGCTGCATTCGCAGAAGGCATAGTTACTGACTAGTTTGCTAAGTGTCAGACAGCGTCAATGCATCATTCAATAACATGTTGAGGCACCTTAGTAATGGGTTCCCTGTGCTGGCCCATTGTTTTATGTAATGTTTGTTTTGGACTGTATAATTTTTTTTTCCTTTGTCATGGTTGTTTACAATTATGTAATTTTATATATATATAAACCATTCCCTGTGAGTTTCATACCATGGACCCACCAGAGAACAACCAAATATATTATGAAATCTACTCTTTACACTTGCCAGTATGTATGGTGGCCACAGCTATTAAGAAAATGTGCATTTATTGTGGCAGTATTTATGGACAGTCGATCCTTAGTCCTAGATCCCTCCAGTTACATTCATAAACTTTAATTTCTTAATTGAAGTTAGGTGTTCCATGTCAAATCAACAGATTTTGCTAAAAACCTGTGGCAGTTGATATTTTATTTGAATGAAACTTGATGTACCCATAGGTTAGTATGGCATAAAAAAATTACAAAGCATTTTGTTGTATAACTCTACAACCGTCCCTCTTCTCTTTGTTTGCTTGTCATTGCTCCGGCCGCTCCTTTCCTCCTCGTAGTTGCTACGGCTACTCCTGCTTGCCGCTCCGTCCACTTTTACCCTTCCTTGCAATTTGGGTTCAGAAGTAACCAGGTTGGATTTAGGATAATGGTAGGCATGGATCTCTTTCTCAGGTCGATAACAGGTCTTTCTTTGAAGAAACTTCAACACAATGAACCCTTGGCTTTACAACCTTAGGTTTAATTTACTTATTCTTTGTCACAATCACTAATCTGTCATTTTCAATTATACATCACTCACTATTTATAATAGTTACATTGGCGCTGTCCCGCCTACAAAGGCGATTCTATGAGGAAATAGCCAGCGCCTCCACTCACGAGGAGTGTATCTTATCAAGTCTTGCCTACCACTGGCTTGGCGACGCTAACAGACCTAAGGGCCTTCCCAGCACCACACCCTAGATGACATCATTCCCCACATCAATCCGGGGATCCACCGTCCACTCTCCAGCTACAAAACTGCACATACGAAATAATGCCGTGCTATCGTCACGTAGGCACCTCCCCTCCAGGGCCTCACACATTCAAGTCCACTAGTAATCGGTTACAACTCATTGGTTTTGAAGATAGAGAATGCTGAAGTTTGTGTAATTCTGACTGTTTTCACATGACTCAAAGAAGCATTAGATAATACAAAACATTGATTTCCAGTGTTAATGGAGATACCTGAATGAAACTGAAACCATATGGAAGTCACATGAGAAGCTATCAAATGATGTNTGAAGAAACTTCAACACAATGAACCCTTGGCTTTACAACCTTAGGTTTAATTTACTTATTCTTTGTCACAATCACTAATCTGTCATTTTCAATTATACATCACTCACTATTTATAATAGTTACATTGGCGCTGTCCCGCCTACAAAGGCGATTCTATGAGGAAATAGCCAGCGCCTCCACTCACGAGGAGTGTATCTTATCAAGTCTTGCCTACCACTGGCTTGGCGACGCTAACAGACCTAAGGGCCTTCCCAGCACCACACCCTAGATGACATCATTCCCCACATCAATCCGGGGATCCACCGTCCACTCTCCAGCTACAAAACTGCACATACGAAATAATGCCGTGCTATCGTCACGTAGGCACCTCCCCTCCAGGGCCTCACACATTCAAGTCCACTAGTAATCGGTTACAACTCATTGGTTTTGAAGATAGAGAATGCTGTAGTTTGTTTAATTCTGACTGTTTTCACATGACTCAAAGAAGCATTAGATAATACAAAACATTGATTTCCAGTGTTAATGGAGATACCTGAATGAAACTGAAACCATATGGAAGTCACATGAGAAGCTATCAAATGATGTATACAACTTATTATAGCTTGAGTTTTTCAAAGTGTAAAACAGTACACTTGACCAAATTACTCCTAAAAATTGTACAACTTCCAACTAGATAATATTTGTTGTGTAATTGATTACCAAGCTACATTTTGAGGATGTAACATTCACATTCTCCCCTGCATCTGATGTTAATTTGAATTTGTTTTTTTAATCTATGAGGAAGTTGTGATTGTTTGACTACAATGGTGCACATTTGGTCACATTTCACATTATCACGGTATAAAACTCACAAGCATGGCTTCAGTTAACATTCCATTTCCATGTGAAGCATGTGAATGTGCCGACCTTATATCCAGTTACTTCATTTTCCTCAAACAGTTTGGTTCTACTGTTCTATATCTTTTTGTGGACGACATCAGTATCCTGTCCCTGTTGTCAGTGGTTGTGTTACACTCTGTATTCTTNCATTGGTTTTGAAGATAGAGAATGCTGTAGTTTGTTTAATTCTGACTGTTTTCACATGACTCAAAGAAGCATTAGATAATACAAAACATTGATTTCCAGTGTTAATGGAGATACCTGAATGAAACTGAAACCATATGGAAGTCACATGAGAAGCTATCAAATGATGTATACAACTTATTATAGCTTGAGTTTTTCAAAGTGTAAAACAGTACACTTGACCAAATTACTCCTAAAAATTGTACAACTTCCAACTAGATAATATTTGTTGTGTAATTGATTACCAAGCTACATTTTGAGGATGTAACATTCACATTCTCCCCTGCATCTGATGTTAATTTGAATTTGTTTTTTTAATCTATGAGGAAGTTGTGATTGTTTGACTACAATGGTGCACATTTGGTCACATTTCACATTATCACGGTATAAAACTCACAAGCATGGCTTCAGTTAACATTCCATTTCCATGTGAAGCATGTGAATGTGCCGACCTTATATCCAGTTACTTCATTTTCCTCAAACAGTTTGGTTCTACTGTTCTATATCTTTTTGTGGACGACATCAGTATCCTGTCCCTGTTGTCAGTGGTTGTGTTACACTCTGTATTCTTTCCATTTCATCACAGCAGTATCATCCCTCTGTGGTCAGTGGAAAGATGCTGATGAGCTTTCAGGATGCATGAATTTGACACAGTATTCAATGTTGTCATCACTTTTTTCCATCACAACACTTATCCACCCCTTACCACCATATTTGCATGCAACATACCTGGACACAGTGACGTCATTGTATGGAATACAAGTAGGCCCTGAATACTACCATTAGATGCATGTGTCAAAGAATGTACTTGAACCAGAAACTCAAAAAACTCTCATTGTGGTGTAATTTAATTATATCTAGCAGCAGTTTTTTCTCCATAGAGCCTGGAATCTCTGCACAAGTACTGAAGCATTCCTTTGACTCAGTTTCTGTGCTGGCCCTCTCAGTCACATAAGAATTTTTTTTTCTGTGAATGTTTTCTTGTGCAAATTCATAGAAATCTTCAGGTGTCAGTATTTATTTACCATAAGGACATTGAAGGCTTCCTTTGGCTGCTTCTTGTTTGGAATAGGTGAAACACCCATTTCAAGGAATGAAAGACCTTTAAGGACAATGTATCAGGTATGACTGAATGTAGGATCTTTCTGTGGATCATCAGATTCTTCTCTGTTCTGGGTAATTTTGCTGTAACAGTTCAAACAGAATGAGTGCCCTACATAAGTGAAGAATGTTGTAATGATATAGTCTGCAGCCTTTTTCCTCACATATGCCTTGTTGTCTGTAGCAAGGATCACAGCATTTCCCTCGAAACAAATGAGTATATATACCATTACAGTACCTGTTGTAGTTCAAGTGACCTGGTTTCCAAATCTTGGCCAGAACAAATTTTTTCTTCATCTGGTAAGTTTATGAACATCCAGAAATGCAACTTAATGAGTGTGTTACTTTTGTGGCAGTTATTTTATGTTCTGCTGAACAGGGCTCCACTGTGGTCTTTGCCTCTTAACTCTTTCCTGTCATATGTCGATATATAATCAACACTGAGACAGTGCTTCCACGGACGAATGTTGATATATGATTGCAAAGTTTCTTTCGCGTTTGTTCAATGATATGTCGGTCGTATGTCACTACTTGCCACTGTATACTATACCATTGCAATCTTGAATCTGCATTCTTCAGCCATCTGGAAGTCATAATTTGAGCTACTTGAGGAACCAATGCCATTTATATATTACTGTGTATCAGTGTTAGCAACATGACTTTGCATCTGCCTTCTAGCATGAAAGAATGAAAATATGATGCTGTGTGTGTCAAGAATGAAGAATCAATTAGTGCTTTGTTAAATGAAGAACTTGATGTTGACTCTGATGATGACATGGAATTGGAAAATGAAAGAGAACCTGGAAGTGAAGAATTGAGCAATGAAATGTCAAAGTGAGAGCAAGAGTGGAACAAGTGTTGTGCCTACTCATGAGCGGGAAGAAGTGACAATGTGCGACAAAAACCCAAGGCATACGCATTTACTGAAAATGCAGGGCCACAGTTTATTTAACCTTCTACCAGATTCAGTGCCCATGGATAATTTTAGTTTATTTTTTCAATGACAAGCTTTTGAATCACATTGTTACAGAAACAAACAAGTATGCGAGACACAAAATTTGAGAACTTCAGCTTAGCCTGAGGTTCATTTGAAGTAGCTGGTCTGATGTGTCAGTTCCTGAAATGAATGCGTTTTTAGGTATAATTATAAATAAGGGCATGATGCCATTACCCAACATAAAAGACTATTGGTCTAATGAGTGGGCAACACAGATACCATTTTTTGTTGATTTAATGTCTAGAGTTCACTTTTAGCAGATATTTTGGATGATTCATGTTGGTAATTATACCACTGAAGAAAACAATCAGGCCATAAAAAGAACAAGGAAAGTACACGGGATTATAGAACATATAAAGAAACAGTTTCAGAAATATTTTTTTGCCAGGTAAAAACATTGCAATACATGAATAAGCAGTTCGGTTCAAGGGCAAAATAATTTTCAAAACTTATAATCCGAAAAAACCTTCAAATTGAGGCATCATATTATTTTTATTAGCTGAGAGTGACACTGGTTATGTTCACAGTATAATTCCATATTACGGAAGAATTACAGGTGAAATGTGTAACTTGCCATACTCAGAAAAACCTTTCACTGACAGATATTATAGTAGTGTTCAGTTGGCCCAGGAATTGGACAATTGAAAATGCCACACAGCAGGCAATATTATTGCTGGTAGAGTTGGCAATCCAAAACCACTGAGGAAGGGGGCCATGAAGAGAATGAAGAGTGGGGACACTTTTGCCTACAGAAGAGGGAATGTCCTGCTAAAGGGCTGGAAAGGCAAGAGGGTGGTTCTCATGATGTCTACATATCAGGACACATCAATGGAAAATACTCGTATAGTGACCATTCAGAAAGGGGGGCGGCAGAAAGAAATTCAAAAGCCAATGTGTACTTGACTACACAAAGCATATGGGTGGTATAGATCGCAGTGATCATTACTGGACAACATGTGCTTTCATTCATAAATCTGAAGTGGGGGAGAAAACTCTTTTTCTGATGCCTGGAAGTGTGCATTGTAAATTCATACATTTTGTACAGCAACTGTAAGGCACACATGGGAGTGAAACAAATGTCACATGTCAAGTATCAAGGTGCTTTTGTAGGAAATCTAGTAGGCATATGCACATCCCAAGAAAGAGAGCACATCCGGGGTCAGCTGAGAGGGAGGAAAGACTAAATACAATGCCTCGCTTCCTCTACCACTATGAAAAAAAGAAACACAAAGATTGCATTGTGTGCAGCAATCGGAAGGTCAAGTGAGCCAGAAAGGAAACATACTTCTATTGTAATTGTTCTTTTGTGTATATGTAGAAAATTTTATTGTCTTTCAGATTGTTTTTAGTTTGTATTTCTATGTTGCATAGAATGGAAAATATGTAGTTTTTTTCTGAAAGTCTGCAAAGTTAAAGGCTTGGGGCCATTTAAATTCTGCCTCAGAGGGCTGCTGGTTATTTAAAAGTCTGTACGTTAAAGGTTAATTAGTCTGTGGCTGTGAACACAGATCCTACTGAGACTCCAGTTTCTTGTGCTGAGTATCTTAGCAGTTTGTGAGGACTGATTTCTAACTATGTCTAAATGTCTTGAACTTTTTCTTCAGGTAGCATATTTCTCTTGTATTGTTTTAATATGCATAACTTTGTGGGGCCTTCTTCCTGTGGGTATTTATGAATGCATAACCAAACACACTTTTAGTAAGTTTTCTTATGAAAATTCAACTATGATAACTCGGTGTCACAGTATGGTAACTGGTGTAGTTGCTTCAGTTTCTCAGTTCAAACTTCTGTCTGACCTTTTGATCGCATGTAGCGATTGTGGAACTGCTGAATGGATTTTCATTAAAATTGTTATTGGGAAGTTTTACCAAAATTTGTCACAACTTGCCAGTTTTATTTAAAATCAGCAGTAATGGGCAGTTTGTATGAAGAAGCCGTACTGTTTTGTAGATGATTAAACAATAGGTAGTGAGCATACCAGAACTATAATGTTTGCGTACATTGGGACTAGTTATTCCCAAGTTATAATAACCTTGTCATATCTCATTTGAAGTTATTGAAGCTCAGCAGTTGATACAGTGTTGTAAAGTAAGTGAATGATGAATCAAATGACTGTTTTTTTTTTTATTGCTTAGGTTGTAGGATGAGTGATTTCCTTTGTCAAGATTGCTTACAAAAGGCATTAAAATCCCTCCAAGGCATACAGATCTTGCCTTCATTATTGTCTGTTAGGTGTAGTTTGTCTCCTGGAGGTCACTTTTGTACATCTCAGCACTGAGCTATTATATTTTATAATATGGATCAGTGGTTCCCAAAATCTTCTAACCTGAGAAGGCCCCTGGTGGGAATAAAAACGTTTGAAGCCTTCCAATTAAAAAAATACTTAAAATGTAATTCAGCAGTTTAAGAAATGTAATCACTATTGCATCTTAATTGTGTCTGTGAGGTACTTTTTCTATTGTGTTATATATTTGTAATTTATTGTTCCCTTTTCTTATCAGTTTATATATACAATAATTGGAAATTTTGGTGGGCCCCAAAAGGAAGCTTCAAGGCCTTGTTTGAAGCCCACAACCCCACTTTGGGAAACAGTACTATTGATGGTTAAGAGAGAACAATAGCTTTGATCTTTTTGTGTGCAGAGTACAGCCTGGGGAATGTTACCATCTTTATACAAAAGCAAGAGAGATGACTCTGGCAGACTATCCTCTTCCTGAGATGCTGCGGACCCGTCTAGATGAGGTTATCTTGCAGATCAAAATACTGCAGCTAGGAAAAACAAAACCATTCTTAGAGCAAGTCATGAATCCTCCAGATCCTCGTGCTGTTGAATTATCAATTAAGGTACATTGCATTGTTATATGGTTGGAAAGCCTGATATTGACGAAGTGGCTTAATATACATAGTGTAAGAGCCTAGTTTAGAACAGAGAAACACTTGCCACATCAAGAGCAAAGTGTTGCACAAACAGGAAGCCTCTGACATCTGGTCCTCTCTGTGAAGGCAGACAGTTTCTATCATAGAGATATTTGGTTTTCAGACTTTATCCATCGTCCTGGTTTTAAGGTAACTAAGAAAAACATATTTTGGAAACTGGATCTGTTTCCGTCCTCAGGTGAGGGAAAACACCTATTCTGTTTGGTCCCTTAGAAAGAGCTAGCCTCAATCACTGGACAACCGATGTCACAAAACACAAAGATTATAAACACCTGAGACCAGGCTAAGTCCATGAGAGCTAATAAGAAAAATATACATTACAAATTGTTCCGTCAGTGTGACATCGTCGTGGACATCGAAAACAAGCTCCACGAAGATGTCACACTGATGGAACGGTCTGTCTTGCAGGTTGAAGCCATCATGGAGCTGCTGGAAGTCTGCTTGAGAACCACCTATTTTCAGGTCGACGACAAGTTCTTCCAACAGAAAGGTGACATGGCTATGGGCAATTCTCTCTTGGCCATCGTTAGCAACATCTTCATGGAGCAGTTTGAAAAACTAGCTCTTGACTCAGCACCGTACAAACCATCATTATGGCTGCGATACGTGGATGACGCTTTTGTAGTCTGGCCTCATGGTCCAGAGAGATTACAGAATTTCTTCGACCACCTCAATAGTTTAAGGCCTTCCATCTGCTTCACTATGGGAACTGAGTCAGACAATGCGATCTCTTTTCTGGACGTTCTGGTCATCAGGGAAGAGATGGCACTGGTCACACAAGTCTACAGGAAACCCACCCACACTGGCCAATACCTCAACTTCAAATCTAACCATCCGCCTCTTGTAAAAAGAGGCTTGATTAAAAGTCTCCACGAAAGAGCCACCACCATATGCCAAGATCGACAAGATTTGATCAAAAAAAGTAACAACCTGAGACACAATCTTCAGTTGAACGGTTATCCCAAAGGCTTCATTGACTCGGTCATTAATTCCAAGGGCAGTAGTCGTCTGAAGAAAGAGGAAAACACTCTGTGTTCTGTATATATTCCATATGCGAAGGGTGTTTCTGAAAAGTTTAAACGGATAGGTAATTGATATAATATTAGGACCATCTTCCGTACGAAACACACTCTTAGGAACTCTCTTATGAAAACCAGACCGAAAAGAGATCCGCAACAGATGGCACAGTGCGTCTATAGCATTCCTTGTGAATGTGGCAGAAGCTACATTGGCGAAACAGGCAGACCTCTGGCCGTGCGGCTCCGGGAACATAGGCATAACCTCAAAGAAGGTCTTCTAGAAAAATCTAAACTAGCTCAACATGCCTATGAAGAGGGACATAGGCTAGGCTGGGATGAAGCTAAGATTTTGGATATTGAAAGCCACATCAGGTATAGGAAATACAAGGAAGCGGCCCATATGGCATGCTCTGCCAACCCAATTAGCCAACCCAGTTTGGACTTTTCTCCCATTTGGATCCCCCTTATTAGGAATGAAGTCACCAATTCACATAGAGATTTGTATGATGTGATATATGTCTTTATTGATTTCTGTTAGGTTCTATATTAGATAGACGTGATTTACTCCATTGTTGACGCTAGTAAGACACTATTAGTTTTTACTATTCTCCTTTCTATTCCATGACTTGGGGTCATGGACCTGGTTATTAGTTTGGTTTCGTGACATAAATTTCTACGGCTCTATCTATCCTGGTTCCACACTTGTAGATGTTTGGAACAATTTGTAATGTATATTTTTCGTATTAGCTCTCATGGACTTAGCCTGGTCTCAGGTATTTATAATCTTTGTGTTTTGTGACATTGGTTGTCCAGTGATTGAGGCTAGCTCTTTCTAAGGTACCCAACAGAATAAGTGTTTTCCCTCACCTGAGGATGGAAACGGATCCAGCTTCCGAAACGTCGTGTTTTTCTTGGTTATCTTAAAACCAGGAGGATGGATAAAGTCCGAAAACCCAGTATCTCTGTGTGTTATACACCATTGTCAGAATCCTATAGTAACTACTAGTTTCTATCATATTGCAGTGTTTCTGTGAGTCATTACTTTTTCATATATTCTATTTATATGTATTTTTCTTTGTTTTTGTATTATACTGCCTTATTTCATCTACAAAACCACCCTGTAGGATAGGCTATAGATTTTGATTAAATTTGATACATATAAATCTAATGTCAGCAGAATTTTTTTTTTTACTTCACTATTATCCCTGCTTCTCTTGGAGCTGAAATTCCACATTTTGTTTCTGCAAGCAGAAAATGATTGGAAGTAATAATGTGTTGTGTTCTGCTTTCATTTGACAGTTGTTAGAGAATCTAAATGCTTTGGATGCTGATGAGAATCTTACACCTCTCGGTTTCCACTTGGCCAGATTACCTCTTGATCCACAGACTGGGAAGATGATTCTGATGGGTGCTCTCTTCAGCTGTGTTGACCCCATCTTCTCTGTTGCGGCTAGCCTCAGTTTCAAGGACGCTTTTCATGTTCCATTGGTAAGACTTAAAAAAAGATCCTGTGCCACTGTGTAATATGGCCATGTTATGTCACATGGTAGTCCTTTAGATATATTGAAGGTGTTTCCGGTCAGAATGCTGAGGAGAATATTTGGGTCTGAGAAGGAAGAAGCAACAGGAGGTTGGAGAAAATTGCATAATTAGTTTGATATTCTATACTGCCTACTACACATGGTTAAGATGATGGACTCAGGGAGGATGAGATGGGCTGTGCATATAGCATATATGGGGAAGCTGAGAAATGCGTGCTTGCTTTTGATAAGGGAACCTGAAAGCGAAAGGCCTTTTGGAAAAAGCAGCTGTAGATGGGAGGATAATGTTACAATGGGTCTTCAAGAAATGGAATGGGTGGGTGTTGACTGCATTTACCAGTTTCATGTGATCATCCTTCGCAAATTTCCAATTTTAGGAAGAGAGCAGATTAGTTAAAGGCACACGTACAGTATCTGATGATGGCAAAATGTCTGAAACCTGTGATGTTTTAATGTACAGTGTCCCTGTATGTAGATTGTGTTGAGCGAAACCAGAATAATAAGCTTACAAATAAAACTGTCATTAAAACTGAAGAGCATGGCTGTCATTAATATGAATAAATTGATGGTGCATAAGAAAATGCCCATTAAAATGAATATCTCACTGTAGGTTGTACAAGTACATGTTACAGCAGACTAATGCTGCGTATGTTTGTGCACACCTGTGTGCCACCGGAGGATGATCTCAGTGTGTGACAGTGAGATACTGTACCTATGCTCTAGTCAGTTTTTCTGTCTCAGCCTTTTTCAGAAAAAGATGCATATGGGGTGTATCGGAAAGTTCCTGGACTGCAACTGCTGTAACTGCCTCAGTGAAAGAAGATGAGAGGGGAGGCCAAGGTCACACTTCCACAAGCCTATTGCTCAGTCTGCCACGTGACACCGCGCTGTGAATGTGCAATGTTTTTACACCAGTGCTTATTCGAGTTCATGTTTCGTTTTGTCTGTCCTGTTTGGCAAAATTGAGCAACTTGTCTGCATAAAGTTCTGCATGAAGCTTGGTAAATCCACTGCTGAACCCTTGAAATGCTACGTGAGGCTTCTGGAGAACCATTCTTTAAGCCAGACAGTGGTTTTTGAATGGCATTCATGTTTGAAGGCCAGTCATGTCAGTTGAAGATGACGAATATTCAGAGCAGCTAAGCACCGGAAAAACAACAGAAAATGTTGAAAAAAATTTGAGAACTCATCCACAAAGACCGTTGCCAGACAATCCATGAGCTCGCAGAAACCATTTTGATCAGTTTTGGAGTTCGCCAGGAGATCTTAACAGAAAATTTGAACATGTTCTGCATTTCTGCGAAGTTTGTTCCCCGACTCTTGACAGATGATTAAAAGCAGTGGCGTGTGAACTTGTGTCTTGAGCTGTTAGAGAAGACTAATGAGGACCCAACATTTTTCTCTAGGATCATAACGCATGGAAAAGATGGATTTACTCGTATGGTTATGATCCAGAAACAAAGCAATACTTGTCTTCTGGGATTTGGCACCGTGTATATGTGGTGTTAAATGACGTTTTTGAGGAACGTATCACCTCCATTTTCAGGGTAGAAGAAAAAATATAAGAAATCTGCAAGCGAAGAGACCGTGAGAACCGGTAAAAGCAGACTGTGTTGGAAATATACACAGCTATGTGAGAGCAGAGAAGGAAGGGGGGAAGGGCAAGTATAGAAGTGAAAACA